TGTGTGTGTGTGTGTGTGCGCGCGCGTGTGTGTGTGTGTGTGTGTGTGTGTGTGTGTGTGTGTGTGTGTGACACACACGCACAATTGGGCACTCACCTACCTACCTACCTTCCCACCAACCCACCACATATACACACGCCCACCACATACACACACGGGGGAAACCAAACCAAACACTAGATCATCGGCATCCATCTGTAACAACACACATTCTATAATCCTGGGACAAATCCTTCAATACAAGTTTGAAGAAGTTTAAGGCGGGTCTACAACAGCTAGTAGTCACCTGTACCGTCTGTATGCTTCACCCCTCCCTCTCTCCCCTTCTCCACACCCCTGCCCCACCCCACCTACCATTCCCCCGGCGTCACTCTTGCCCTCGACATTGATAACCGCCAAATATCTGAAGGACTTAACATGTCCACACAAAATGATTTCATGCATTACAGTAAGGTTGCTTCTACCACAGAAGTAGCCTTTCGCGCCTGACCGAACTTCTCCATATCCCTCGTTCAAGCTCTCATCAACCAAATCCACTTCGACACGATGAAAGCACACAATAATACATTTTTGTCAAGGACAAGGAACCTCGCTGCGCTTCGAAGTGCACTGCATTGAAGTGCATTCCCTTTTTCCGCCGTTTGCAAAACGGACCTCTCACACATATATACTGCGATCCAAAAATTTCCGCAAGATACCCCACAAAATAATTGAAAAATTGATACAAAAAGAGAAACCACCATGATCCCGATGCAACCCGTCCCGATGGTAATTTCGCTTTTTTAACAGTCAGTGACTCAGTGATTGTTTAACCTCTGTCCCTCCCGCCCTACCTCCCTTCCTCCCTTCCTCCCTTCCTCCCAAGCTCCCTCTCTCCCTCCCTCCCTCTCCTGCACAAGATTGGGCGCACGTTCAGTTCTGTTCTACTGCCTTCACCCGAATAGAACGCCCGGTCACAAACTCACTCAGTATTAGAAAGTCCGCACAGATTCACGAACTCGCTCAGTATTAGAAAAGTCCGCGCGTTCAGCTCTACCGCCTTCACCCGCATAGAACGCCCGGTCAATAAATACAGCTGTAATGACAGGGCGGTGTATTCGGGTGAGCACGGTAGTAAACAATGGCAGCGTACGAGGGAGGTAATATCGTTCGCTGCATGCTTTTCCACTCACAACAGCCATGACTGACTACAAACTTCACCCGAATACAACGCCCGGTCAGTATCGCTGTACCTAGACTACAAGCTGGCCAAATACAGCTACAATGACAGGGCGTTCTACTCGGGTGAGGACGGTAGGCTTGCTTACCAAGGTGGGGTTCACCTGTGCGGCAATGCAACTAAACAACATTGAGCCCACAATAACATAATAAGATCAGTCCCTTATCTCTCCATTTATAGCTGGCGGACTCATACCACCTTTCTTCCCTCCTGACACATTGACGGAATGGGAGAAATCCACAGCAAGGCCAAGAAGCATGCCCAAAAGCCAAAGCAATTGTGAATACACCAAAGCGACAGGGACAGCTACATAGGGACCTACGGTAGTTTGTTAAACAATAGGAAGATGCGTACATAAAACGAGGAGAGGGTCGCAAATTCTCAGAATCACTTTGATGGCGATGATGACAAGTTACCGTCATTACGGCTGTATCCTGACGGAACGTTGGCCCAAATACAGCTATAATGGCCGGGCATTCTATTCGGGCGAAGACGCTAGCTTCCGCCAACAAGATACAGAACAGTCAGTGCACAGAGGCAAGACAGCAGTCATTCCAAAACAGCTTCTACGTTCCATCACAATCTAGTCTTTTGTTAGGCATTCAGGCCCATGACAATCTCCTTTTTCACTACGGACAGGCGTCCAGTATTTGTCTAACACCGTTGCTATGCGCTGCTATAGCCCGCCGGGCGGCCGTTTGCATTCGCTCTTGCTCGGACAATTTACTACCGCAGCGAGGTGCTTGGCAAGAAACTCTCTCCATCAAGCCTTAGCACCACCCGGTACCCTCACCAGGTACACCGGGAACACTTAAACCACAAAACCGCTGTGATGCCGCTCATGTACACTGCCGGATACGGCCACACAAAACCCCAAACATCACATCAGGTGGCGGGTACACCGGGAACGCTTAAACCACCAGTACCTCACCCATACATCGGCCGCCGGTCCCTCACCGCAACTTTTTTTCTGAGGCCCAGTTGCGACAAAGGCCATCGATGAAATTTGTCAACGGCAGCCCGGCCCCAAAAGTTGTGCCCCTCAACGAGCCGCATTCGCTGAAAAGTAGCTGGGAAAGGAACCTGGTGGTTTAAACTTTAAAACTTTTTAAACTTTAAACCACCACTCCAACGGCACCTGCAATGTTCATTTTTCTTGTCTACGAGTACCGGGGAAAAAAAAAACTAGTGTCCAGGCCTGCTGGAGGTTTCGTGGGGAAGGGTACCACCAATAGTTTTCCTTCAAGGTGGCACTGTAGATGTTAGGCTCGGGGAAATGCAAGGTTCGGTTTGTCAAAATAGGCCCGGATGGAGTGGTGGGTTTAGGCCTTAAGGGCTTCCGACCCGCGGATCAATCTCATATGTTCTTTAAACTTCTTTTCCCCAGGACATCCGTTAAAATTGGAACGGTACAGAGAAGATTAGCATGGCCCCTGCGCTTTCAAGGATGACACGCATAAATCGAGAAACGGTCCAAACAAAGGGAAAACTAGGGTGTATGTGAGGGATGCCTGAACTTGATTTTAAAATTTAAACTGAGATCGCGACTGCACCCTAGTTACCCCTCTTTCCAATTACAAAAACAGAAATTTAAGATGTTTGATTGCCAACTTGCCAAGTCAATATGGAACAACTGGGAGGAAGGCCACTTACTGCAAAGCATCGACGTTCTTCCCTTGAGAGATAAGGAACTCCCTCAACTGTGAACAATCATCACACACACACACACAACAGAGTGGCAAGTCCAGTTGAAAAGTGGGAGGGTTAGAGAAACATACAGAACCATGTATGCACATTACACACAGATCCATGCACAGACACACACAGGAGAGAGAGAGAGAGAGAGAGAGAGAGAGAGAGAGAGAGAGAGAGAGAGAGAGAGAGAGAGAGAGAGAGAGAGAGAGAGAGAGAG